GTTTTTTCGAAACTCAAAAAACTTTTTGGATTTTTTGGCGAATATATCCAAAAAAATGCTTTTTTGATTTTTGGGGGTCAAAACTCAAAAATTTCAAAAATTCGAGATAGCATTTTTGTAGCCCTGTCAATTCTACACCTTTTATGTCTTGATCATTTTTCTGTATCTTCAAAGCTGTAGTCCTGACAGGTCTTCTCGCGAAGGTCTTTTTTCGGTCGAAAATGACAGAACATGACGTCACTCTGACGTCATTTGTGGCCAACCTGTCATAGCCTCTGGAAAAATTTTTGGTCACAATGTGCAAAATTGATGCCCGGAGGAGTCCTGAAAGTTTGGTGGCGATATCTCCAGCCGTTTTGGAGATATCGACCGAAAAGGACAGGGGGGGGGGCCGTTTCGGCCCCCCCCCTACGGGGCGCGGGTTAAGGTTGGGGTGCTACAGCACGTGCGCACGTGCAGGGGGCGCTCCCAGATCTCGAGAACGGCTGGGCCGATTGCGCTCAAATTTGGTACACGGTTGGGGACCAGTTAGTAGGGTGCCGTGCAAAAGTCAGTTTGGACCCCGCTTGCACGTGCGCACGTGCAGTGTGCCGCTTCCAGATCTCGAGAACGGCTAGGCCGATTGCGCTGAAATTTGGCACATCGCTAAAGACCGGTTAGTAGGGTGCAGTGCATAAGTTAGTTGGAGGTACCCCCTCGCAATATCGCACGTGCAAGGCCCATCCTCTCGCTCGCTCCGTTGGTCGCCCAAAAGGCGTTTTACTGGTTTTCAGTTGCAATGGACCGTCCAAAGGTCCCGAAAGGATAGAGCTTGTGTGTGGCTGTATAGTGTATAAGGCTGGTTTGTGACATTGGCGCTCGCTGTCCCTCTAGCTCTGGATACACCAACAGTACGGTGCAACGTGATTCATCATACGGTGTTTAGTTTACTCACCCCATAAGCTACACAGTTCCGTGCGCACTTGTTCGTGCATAGGTGTGTCTCAGCGAGGTAGTTTCAGCTTAATTACCTCTTTTCTCGTAAAATAAAAATAAATTCGCGTTTCTATGCTGCATTCAATCAAAATAGGTGTATCTAATTTTGCTTTTTGCACGAAATTACACCAAAGTAGCTCGAATTTGGACACAATCACACTCATGTATCAGCATGTAACAGAAATATCTCCCTAGTCATGGCAGCGAACTAACGTTTTAAGGGGATTGCCTTCTGGGCGTTGGCTAACGTAGTTCTGGACGTTTGCACATTGCATATCCACCTACATGGATTAAGCACCGTGTAAAAATGGCGTAACGGTAAAAACGCATAGACAGGTACACAGAAACCCGTTTTGTTGCGAGCTTGCGGACCTCTATTCTTATAGAACGATACAACTTCAGCAACCTGTGGTATTCTCACTGTGCGGAAAGTGATTTTAACGTACGGTAGGCACTATCCGTCAGCGCTTTTAGACATTCTGGCAAATCGATAGACCCTGTCGGCCGTTACGAAGGATGTTAATTGGTACAGTAACTAGTGGTCAAACTGTTCCCGCCCCAGCGGCTAACCGCATCAAGATATACGGATTTGTTTTTGACTGGCATTTGTCTTTCAGGTGTCGCATATGTGTGCCTTGCCTCTGATAGCTGACTACTGTGCTTGGTAGCCACATTGACTGCACGCACGACCACTCACAATCCCGGACGAAGTGAGTCTCACTTATATCTCTTCGATAGGCACTACTGGCACTGGTTAGACAGCGCGGTACTGTGTGATTGGATTATTTAATCGGCCAGTCTGGTATATTTAAACGAGCGGTGCTTAGAGTTTGAGTTCAGTTTCTTAGTAACCAACATGATCTGTTCGCTCGTTCATGTGCTACCCCCTACTGCGGCGATTGGTTATGTGCCGGATGTATTACACCTTTCGTTCGTTGTCCCCACAGTTATAACGGTCATCACGGTCTGCGACTACTGTGGGCCCACCGACTACAAGCCCTGATCACAATAAATCTTGTAGAACTCTGCCCTGGTAGTTTTTTCCTGTTGGCCGGATCAGTTATAATTCTTCCACCTGTTGTGAGGTGGTGGTGTTGCCCATCAGTAGAGTGGTGACACAGTAGATTGATGTTCACGGCCAGTAGAGATGATCCCCACATTTGATCCTAACCTGAGGGCTGTCTAGCCTGACATCGTGTCACTCATTCTTCATTATCTGGAGACCTATTTGTAGTTGGAAAGGCAGTTGTCTACTAACGATTCAGGTGCAGTGGAGTGTAGACCTCAACTAACTCCCAGTCCCCCTGAACTATACGATTATGGACGGGGAAGAGAACCAGGAACAGACATCTGCAAGTAGACGACAGGTGCGCCTGACTGAGGCAGGAAGAGAACACCAGAAGGAGATGAAGACGAAGGTGTTCAAGAGGCAGCTCAAGGAGCTGAAAAGGCACACTGAGAAGATGGTGGAGGACGATGGCACTATCGTCCCAGACTTGGGAAAACCAGAACTGAAGGAGTGGACCCATTGCTATGTGAATCTTCTTCAGACTCTGTCAGACCTGAGAATCCTGCTGCCATCAGACGAGGTCGCCCTCCTTCAGAGAGACATTGAACAGTTTCAAGCACTCAACTTGCAGATGCAAGAAGCCCTGGAGAAACTGAGGAGCACAGAAGCCCGAGCTCCGTCGGTGACCGGTCGCAGTGGGAACTCTCGGACATCGACATCGGTTGCTTCTGTTCGAGCCTCCTTGAAGATCCTGCAAATGCAAGACGAACATCAGAAAGCAGCCCTGCGAGCGAGACAAGCGGCTGTGCTGAGAAGACGAGAAATCGAACAAGAGAAACAGGCCATCAAGTGGAAAGAGGAGGATCTTGAACTGGAAGTGGAGCTCAGCACTGTGGAAGAGCAGAGTAAGGCACTGCACAAATTTGAGATGGAGTTGGAAGACGGAAAGACCTACAGACTACCTGCGGAGAATGACGTGACAGCTCCAGCGGAGTCAATCCAAGTAGGACCTGTTCGAAGTGCAGGTGCTCCTGTGACAACCAGCGAAGTTCGCGGCGATATATCTTCCTCTCAGCGCGCCAGCGTTTCGCTCAGCGTGGCAGATGCCGGAGCAGCGCCTCTGTCATCTGCGCAGGGCGGCAGCGCTCACATCAGCGTAGCTGACGGGCCTGAATCGACTACACTTCATCATGGGCTGAACCCTGGCGCACGTATCTTCAGGCCCAGCGCGATGATAGAGCCAGAGGAGCAGCTAAATGTAGAACGTAGCTCCGGGACGCTAGCTGCGGGACCCACTAACTTATCAGATCTGTTCGCAGAGCAGCGAAGAGGCCAGCTTCCAGCGCTGGAACCGGAGGTCTTCCAGGGAAGCGTCGAGAGGTTTCATCCCTGGGTGAAGGCCTTCGAGAGCTTCATCGAGAGCAGAACGTCATCGGCGACAGAACGACTGCACTACCTCTCCAGGTACACCGGAGGAGAAGCGAGAACAGTGATTGAAGGATTTCTTCTCCTTAGGTCAGCAGACGCGTACAATCAAGCGAAGAAGAAGCTGTACGACCGCTACGGAAATGACTTCATCGTCTCACGCACGTACCGCAAGAAGCTGAAGGAGTGGCCACCGGTGCGCGCTGGTGATGGGAGCGGTCTAAGACGATTGGCGGACTACCTGGATAGCTGCCTCGCGGTCTCACATCACGTATCGGGTCTCGAATCTCTTAACGACTGCAACCAGAACAACGAGATCCTGCGGAAACTGCCTAAACACATCGTGGACAAGTGGAGGCGTGTCGTCGACAAGAGACTGTTCGAGCCTGACGCGGGGACTCAACCGGGCTACCCGCCGTTCGAAGAGTTTGTGAGTTTCCTGAACAGGGAGGCTAGGATCGCCTGTGGACCGGTCGACGGCACACCAGATGTATTTTCGACTTCGGGTCGAGACACACCAGCCAGAGGTCGTGTCAGCCGCAAGGAAAGCGCTCACACCTTCATTTCTTTGGCAGCATCAGATGAACCGGCTGACGCCCCGAAGCACCGAACTCCACCGTCAGCGAAGCCACGGCCTCCTTGGCCATGCAAGATCTGTGGACAGCAGCACTCTATCGAGACATGCAAGGACTTCAAGGCCATGACATCAGAAGAGAGGCACGAGGCGGTCAAGCGACATGGACTCTGTAGAGGCTGTCTCCGCCACGGTCACATTTGGAAGGAATGCCGAAGCAGGAGAAGATGTGAGAAGTGTGGTTACTCTCACCCAACGCTGTTGCACAGCGACTCAAGAGAGAAGAACACGGCGTCGACTCCGGTGAAGAGGCCAGCAGGCTCAAGCGACGGCACTCCGGAAACTCGTGCAACCACATTCAAGGTGGCGGTTGAGGGCGATTGTCAGAAATCAGCCTGTCTTCACACCATGATTGTTCCCGTCATTCTTCGAAGCGAGGACGACCCTAATCGACAGGCAATCGTCTACGCAGTTCTTGACCCGCAGTCAGATGCGTGTTTCATGACCGAAACAACGCTGCAGAAAGTTGGAGGCAGAGGAGAGAAGATTGCGCTTCAACTCAGCACCATGGCTGGAAAGGCAACGGTGGACAGCCTCAGAGTGACGGGACTTTCGGTCCAAGGGCTCACGACCACCGACCGCATCAACCTTCCAGCCACCTACACACGGGTCGAGATACCAGCGGAGAGACACCTCATCCCTCGAACAACCACGCTGCAAAAGTGGAAGCATCTCGAGCATCTGATGGAAGATCTTCCTCCTCACCTACCGGACGCAGACATCGGACTACTTATCGGTATGAACTGCCCCCGCGCAGTGAAGCCGAGAGAGATTGTTCCAGGAAGCGGCGAAGACCCATGGGCAATCAGAACAGAACTGGGATGGAGCGTTGTGGGATTCGTTGAGGGATCCACATCTGCTCCAACATGCCACTGCGTACAGGCGGCAGAGTCGAAGACGTGTCACTTCGTACTCAAAACTCAGGCACGAGAAGTAAGTCCACTGGAAGTCGCACGCATGTTCGAGGCCGACTTTCGTGACGAACACACGGAGAAGAAGGTATCACAAGAAGACCGACGATTCTTGAGGATAATGGAGGAGAACTTCCATCAGAGAGCCGACAAACACTTCGAAGGACCACTTCCTCTGAAGGACCAGAATGTGAAGTTCCCAGACAACAAGAAGCTGGCATTGAAGCGGCTTTTCTGCCTGAAAAGAAGACTCGCTAACGACAAGAAGTTCAGCGATGACTACAACAGGTTCATGGCCGACTCGTTCAACAAGGGATATGCGGAGCGGGTGCCAGAAGACGAACTGGGAAACGACGATGGAAGGGTCTGGTTCGTCCCTCACCACGGTGTCTACCACGCAAAGAAAGGGAAAATCAGAGTCGTCTACGACTGCAGCGCTGAATACCAAGGATTCTCGCTGAATAACAGCCTTCTCCAAGGACCAGACTTCATCAACAATCTGCTGGGCGTAATCATCCGCTTCAGAAAAGATGAAGTGGCGATCAGCTGCGACATCCAGGAGATGTTTAATCAGGTGCTCGTGACTGAGCAGCACAGGGATCTGCTCAGATTCCTGTGGTGGGAAAACGGCGACTTATCCGGAGAGCCCGTCCAGTATCGGATGAAGACTCATCTCTTCGGCGCGGTCTCCTCCCCCGCATGCGCGATGTACGCCCTGAACGCTACGGCAGACACGTACGAGCAGAAGTACGGGAAAGAAGCGGCAGATTTTGTCAGACACAACTTCTACGTGGACGATGGGCTCATCAGCGTTCCGGATGCCGACACTGCTGCGCGTCTAGCCATGGACACGATCCACCTGTGCGCAGATGGAGGATTCAAACTCAACAAGTTTGTTTCCAACGACCCCTCTGTCGTCGCTAGCCTTCCCCCTGACAGTGTCTCTAAGGCAATGACATCAGTAGACGTCAGTCTGCACCACCCTACTTACGAGCAAGCACTCGGACTGAAGTGGAACACCGAAACAGACACACTGCACATCAACGTGGACCTTGCAGACAAGCCCATTACAAGACGGGGCATTCTGTCGACGGTGAGTTCACTGTACGATCCAGTCGGTCTGATATCTCCGGTAATCCTGAAAGGCAAGCAGTTCGTGAAGCTCCTCTGCTGTGACGGCTATGACTGGGACGAACCTGTGGCAGAAGACGTCGCCGTGCGCTGGCTGCAGTGGAGGGAAAGTATATGCTTGCTTTCCGACATCTCTGTCCCCAGACGCTACGTCTCCAACAAGGGCAAGATCAAGATTTACGAGTTGCATCACTTCTCCGATGCAAGTACATCTGGCTACGGTCAGGTTACCTACCTGCGAACCATCGATGAGCTTGGACACGTCTGTTCGGGTCTCGTGATCAGCAAGGCGAAGGTGACGCCCAAGCGGGCAGTCACGATCCCGCGGCTCGAGCTGACCGCGGCGGTCCTCTCCGTGAAGGTCGCGAGCTTCTTGGACAAGAAGCTCAACATCCGGAACCTGCGCCACTTCTTCTGGACCGACAGCATGGTCGTGCTCGGTTATATCGGCAATGAGAGCAGAAGGTTTCAAGTTTTCGTTGCTAACCGAGTTCAACAGATACGGGAACACACTGTCCCGGACCAATGGAGATTCGTGAAATCTGAGGACAATCCAGCAGATCTGGCCTCCCGTGGCCTCGATGCAAGTGAGCTCAAGAACTGTGACCTCTGGTGGCACGGACCCAAGTTCTTGATGGATTCGGCAGAGCTCTCAGCAGAACCACGGTTCGTCGAGGTACAAGAAGACGATCCAGAGGTGAAGAAAACAAGAGTGTTGGTCACCAGCAGCCGACAAGACGACGCCAAGTTTGATCTGTCAAGCCGACTTGTTCCCTTTTCAAGCTGGTTCCGCGCCAAGAAGGCAGTAGCGATCTGCCTACGATACAGACGACGACTCCTGAACCGAATCAGGCAAAAACGGACCTGCAGCACAACCACTGAAGGTATGGAGGAGAGCAAATCGCTGACAGACATGCCCATTGACACAGATGAGCTGAACGACGCAGAAGTGACCATTCTGAAGAACGTTCAGGAAGATGAATTCGAAGAGGAGTTGGTGAACCTGGCAACTCAAGAGGATCCGACGACAGATCGGAAACAAGTCAAGAAGCGGAGCAGCGTGCGCCGTCTGGACCCGTTTCTTGCCAGAGATGGACTCTTGCGAGTAGGCGGACGGCTGAGGAGAAGCGATCTGCCCCTGGAGACGGCACACCCTGTGATACTGCCAAAGGATCACCACGTCAGCCGCCTCATCATCGCGCACTTCCATGAAAAGACCAAGCACTCAGGCCGAACGATGACGCTGAGCGAGATTCGGCTGTCCGGATTTTGGATTCTTCACGGAAGAACGGCGGTATCTCGGTACATACAGAAGTGCGTCAAATGCATCAAGCTCAGAGGAACACCGTGCGGCCAGAAGATGGCAGACCTGCCGGAGGAGAGAGTGGGACAGATGGAACCGTTCACCTATTCCGGATGTGACTGTTTCGGACCCTTCATCATCAAAGAGCGTCGCAGCGAGCTGAAGAGATGGGGCATCGTGTTTACGTGCATGAGCTCGAGAGCCGTTCACCTCGAGACTCTGAACTCGCTGACTGCAGACGCTTTCATCAACGCCTACCGACGTTTTGTTAGTCGGAGGGGACCAGTCAGAAAGCTCTTCTGCGACAACGCCACGAATTTCATCGGTGGCGAGGGATACCTCATGGCAGCACTCAACGAGATGGACCGAGATCAGGTCAGGAGGACCATCCTGAAGGACAACTGCGACCTCGTGGAATTCGACCACATCACCCCACGGGCTAGTCACATGGGCGGCGCCTGGGAGCGCCAGATACGGTCTGTTCGCGCCGCTCTCAACAGCCTGTTCCAAGATGTGGGACTCCAGATCGACGACGAACTTCTTCGAACGGTCATGACAGAAGCCGAAGCCGTAGTTAACAGCCGCCCCCTGTCCTATGCATGCATGACTGACTCAGATGTAGTAGAGCCTATCACCCCTAGTCAACTACTCACCTTGAAACAGAAGGTAGTTCTCCCTCTGCCGGGGAACTTCGACCGCCCGGACCTGTACGTCAGACAACGCTGGAGGAGGGTCCAGTATCTCTCCAACCAGTTCTGGCTCCGCTGGAGGCGGGAGTTTCTGCCAACTCTCCAAGAGCGTCGCAAGTGGAACCGGACGGAGCTGAATCTCGAGCCAGGCGACGTCGTGATCATCGTCGACGCTGACGCCCCGCGATGCAGCTGGCCTCTGGGCCGCGTGGTTTCCACGTACCCGAGCAGTGATGGACTGGTACGAAGTGTCCGAGTGCGTATCGGCCGTGCTGAATATGACAGACCGATACACAAAGTCATCCGCATGCTGAAGTCGTAGGGTGATTCCCAGTCGAGGAGCCTTGTTTATTTTCCTTGCGTTCGTGTGCGCTGCGCAAGTTCCGGTGACAAAGTGTCATCGACACTATTGTGATAATGTGTCACAGTGACGCCGTGATCGATTTGTGACAGCGTGTTGTTGCTGCGAAATGTGAATCACGCGTGCCATTGTATAACAGACTGCGTTTTGTATATAGCAGACAACGTCTCTGCTATTCACGTTCTGTGTGGAAAAGTGATGGAAAATTAGGTATAAGTACCGTAATTTTGGGGAGCCATGTTCCCGCCCCAGCGGCTAACCGCATCAAGATATACGGATTTGTTTTTGACTGGCATTTGTCTTTCAGGTGTCGCATATGTGTGCCTTGCCTCTGATAGCTGACTACTGTGCTTGGTAGCCACATTGACTGCACGCACGACCACTCACAATCCCGGACGAAGTGAGTCTCACTTATATCTCTTCGATAGGCACTACTGGCACTGGTTAGACAGCGCGGTACTGTGTGATTGGATTATTTAATCGGCCAGTCTGGTATATTTAAACGAGCGGTGCTTAGAGTTTGAGTTCAGTTTCTTAGTAACCAACATGATCTGTTCGCTCGTTCATGTGCTACCCCCTACTGCGGCGATTGGTTATGTGCCGGATGTATTACACCTTTCGTTCGTTGTCCCCACAGTTATAACGGTCATCACGGTCTGCGACTACTGTGGGCCCACCGACTACAAGCCCTGATCACAATAAATCTTGTAGAACTCTGCCCTGGTAGTTTCTTCCTGTTGGCCGGATCACAAACCTTTGTGCTACTAAGAATAAACTTTTGAGATATTAGGTAAATGCCTATCCCCTGGATACCATTGCCTTATAACTTCAAGCTCTTTTATCTTTGTCGTGTCATTTTCCCCCTTAAATACCGAATACACGCCCACGTTTTTCTCCCGACACCTCCCCTCAAGAAACCGTTAGCTGTGGTCGTTGCCCTGGGCAGCGGGGCCCCTCTGACCCCCTCACCGCGAGTACCTGGTGGTAGCTGCAGGCTGTCCCGCTCCACCGCTACATGGCTCAGCCAATTACGGCGACCTTATCTGGTGTTTCCGCATTGCTACTGTTACAACCGCGGCGGCTGAATTTTACTGTTCTGCAGCGAGTGCAACCGGCCGGCCGGCGGCATTCCGACGGGTGCTGCACCGGCTCTGCGGCAGGCGCGCCGCGTCACCGTGTCGTCACATCACGTCACAGTGACGTCTGTCCGCTGATCACGTCACAGCGGCGGCGACGGCGACAGCGGGGCCATCAGTGATGTGATCGCCGCGCCTCCTTCCCATCCACCGTCATAGAGATCGTATATAGTAGTCGGACTAGTTCTGCAGGGAGGGGTGATGGGGGGGGGGGCTAAGCGGCTCAAATCGACACCGATCCTCTCATGACGAGCAGATCCGCACGGTCACGAGATTCACTAAAGGACTTCCGCGAACCGGACGAATTAAACATGGAGATTGTTAGATCGAGATGAGATAAAACAGGACTGGCGGCATTGCATTCTTAATTTGGACTGCTGGCATGACCAGCCCTGAAATGGCCAAGATATCTGCGTATTCATCAGCCAGGACTGGTCGCTCGTCTAACGGGCACACTCTGGAAACCGGCTGGGCTTTTAGCAGCTTCAGCCGAGTGCTGGCACTCAGAGATACAGGTGTTCGGTTTTAACCACTGACGATACTCGAGTTAAGTGATGCTACGTGTCGCCACGGGTGGTCTACGCCAAACACATGCCATCGGTGTATCATAAAAGCGTAGCGTTCATACATTACCCCATCGAATTCCCGGATACAATGCCATGAATTATGCATGCAGACAGACCTATATCTATTAGCCCGCGGCCAGGTGCAGCTCTCGCGGAGAGGGACGGCCCGTGCCGGTCAGGCTAGTCGGCTGTTGTCACGCTATGCTATATGGGTGTGAGCGGCGGCGCCTCGGGTGTCTGCTGAGGCACTCGCGCTGAGGAGACGGGTATGTCTGAGGGGCTGAGCAGGCGTCTGTCTGTGCACAGCAGGCTGCTGCAGACGGTATGGGGGCGGGAACGTCACACCAGGGTATAACTGGACTGCAGAGGGACGACCTATCCTATCGTCTCATGCTGTTTCGTCATGGCCAATGGCCATGAAAACTGTCAGGTGCTCAGTGATCTGAATGATATAAAAAACACATAATTTTTCAAAAAGTTAATTCACTAAAATATTTTTGGACTATACAATCGTTCTACGCATTGTCACAGCAAATAATATATCAATTAGCTTGCGTTATAAATCAATAAAAAGAAGGCACTGCATCAGGTCAATGATCCAATTCTATGAGCATACGACTCAACTCTGCTGCAAAATGCCAGCTATTTGTATTGAATAGGGCACAGACGGTGCACCGGCGGGGAACTTTAACATAATAAAAAACCTGAGCAATGAGTTCCATTATCTGACGTTTTTTTCTTTCATATCCAAGTGCGTTTTTGACTCTGCATATCCGTAAAGGAACATAAAATAGCCCCCATAATTTCTGATGTCTGCCACGTCATTACTCTGCAGCAGCGCATTCACTTGTTATAATTTCCAGAGAGCTGTTTATGAAAGCTGACTCTGACTCTGACGGTGAGTCATCCACAGTGAGTCATTTCGAGTCAGAGTCTTCTGGATCCGGCTGCATATTTACGTCTGCAGTACATCGCAGTAGTCCCTCCCATTCCGGCGGCAGATGACGTCACCGAGCGACGTCATCTCGTGACGTCACCTGGGTTGCCACGTCATACCGGGCGCCATACTTGGACGGCGTTCACGAGCAGTGGCTGCAGCCGATCAGTGTTTTATACATGCAACAGGATATTGATTGGTGGCATGCAACGTTTGTCACGCGACAGACCTACGCCGATGCCGTTAATATTAGAGGGCAATCGACGTTCGAATCAGTGAATGGGAACAGCTCACTACAGTTGCTCCCATCCTACCTACATATTCCTACCTGTGCTTTTGTAAGTGACTCATTCATTTGGTGAGTAGGCTCATTCAATCTAATTCGGTCGGATTTTGTGTCAGCTTGCACTTGGACGAAAGGCAAATTGAACTTCTGATGAACGATCATACCGGTATTTATGCACACAATTATCAACCAGTAAAACGCCTTTTGGGCGACCAACGGAGCGAGCGAGAGGATGGGCCTTGCACGTGCGAAATTGCGAGGGGGTACCTCCAACTAACTTGTGCACTGCACCCTACTAACCGGTCTTTAGCGATGTGCCAAATTTCAGCGCAATCGGCCTAGCCGTTCTCGAGATCTGAAAGCGGCACACTGCACGTGCGCACGTGCAAGCGGGGTCCAAACTGACTTTTGCACGGCACCCTACTAACTGGTCCCCAGCCGTGTACCAAATTTGAGTGCAATCGGCCCAGCCGTTCTCGAGATCTGGGAGCGCCCCCTGCACGTGCGCACGTGCTGTAGCACCCCAACCTTAACACATGCAGATGAATTATCTGATGGAGACCTAACTGTGTACCGAGTTTCAATTCAATCGGCCCAACCGTTGTGCCGTTATTGAGGTTGCAATTTTGAGGGTTCTTAAAAAATGTCCAACTTTAGCACGCGCCACGTGCGGTGGTTGGCAAGAACGCATGGTGGCCATCACACCACAGAACTTTTACGTCCAAGTGACATTCAGTAAAGAAGACCGCTTGTCAATCGGATGTCCCGTTCCTAAGATATTAGCTTTTGAAGAGCGTCCCCACGGCCGGCCGGCCGGCCGGCCGGCCGCTCATACTCAGGATTTTCCCTTAATTCAGTATGAGACTCCGCTCGCTTCGCTCGCTCCGTAATTATGCCGTTTGTGCCTCTGTATTGACGCACAGTTCATGTTAATTGCAATTACCAAGCTTTACGTAATTCGAGCTGAAACGCTGACAGCCTCTTATACCATTGCCTGGAGACTGGCCCTTGGGAAAACCTAATGAGCGTTTGGCAGCGGGCATCGATTTGTTACTGTCGCTTTCTTGGCAATGGCTTACAGTTGATACCTAATGGATGGTGGGTGAAAAAAGTTGCGAAATAAAGTATGAGTTAGCATAACCCGGACGAGAAAACAGTCTGGCATTCATGACATTTTTCGGTATATGAAAAAACATACCAAAATGTAAAATGTATTCATATAACTAGGTATGTTGACTTTGCTTACCAATAAAAACTCCCATCGATGCCTTGGAAAATGAATGAATATGTATGGACCTACTCAAACGAACTTCTTGAGCCTTGCGCTAGGTTCCAGTAGGGCTCATCAAATACTTATTGCCAAGGACTGTTGGTAGGTGCAGAGATTATTTCTAAACGTAGGGCAAGGCTAGTCGTTGCTATTTTTACCTTTTTTAAGTGCAGAGATAATCGGAATCGTTATGCACCGTACCTCACACCCACACAAATTGTGTACGAGCAGTAACAAACAACATTTTATTAGCATTTCATTCTAACAACCAGTTTGCCAGCGTTTCATGTTCAGCATGATGTACCGACTTAGCTGCACGTATCTTAAGTTCTACGAAAAGTATATCTAAGCAAACTTAGGCTCGTCTGAGCCGTGGCTTGATAATCACCGATTGAGCTAATAGCAAAACCAGTTCGCGCTGACAAATCCTGAACATGATATGAACCGACTTAAACGCTTGATCTTTTCCACGAATATTTCTAGGGACCAGGTAGCTCAGGGGCTTATATTTAGCCTTCAGTGCATCTCACGGAAAAATGAACATAACAATTGTAGAGCATGCAGGAACGAAGCAGTACAAAATGTATTCACAGAAGAAGGCTTGTCGACTTGTGACCATCTACAGTTTAGATGAAAACGACTTCGAAGATCTAGCTCATGTGTCCACTCCACTCACGCCGAAGCCTTTCTGGAAAAGCCAAACTCGTGTATTCGCACCTGAGTGATAAAACGGCCGCGTTGTTTCCCTGTTTGGCGCGGTGTAACACCAAAAAGTACGTCACGCCAGCCTTCCAGAGTGCCCATACACGGCCGTTGGGCAACAATGGCCTGCCGGGTGTGAGGAACATATTGTCGTCCTTGTGCCCGCGGCCTCTGGGCCGCCCGTGTCGGGGCGGGCTCTCGTCGCTCGTGTCCGCTTTCTTTCCTGGTTGCGATGTCGCGCGCTCGCGCCGACTGAGTCAAATGCGGCGCGACACCCGCAGAAACGACCCTCCGACGACCAACACTAGGAAACTTCCCGACTGCCGTCACCTTTGGACTTCCATGGAAACTTGCCGGTCGACTTCCCGGCTGTGGCCCCTGCGCTGGGCCACGGGGATTCGTCAAATCGCATGGCAAGGTGTGAAAATATGGCTGACTTCATGGTGATTGCCAACACATCACTATGCGTCATTACCACCTCAAAGGAAACCGCTCTGAGATAGTTTGTTTTCCGGGTCTTTTTATGTTGGCGGCAAGTCAGGTGATACGTTTAGCAGGGCATTTTGTCACATTTATTACTTTTATTCGTGTAGAGGGATTTCATGTTTTGGCCGGTATGCAGGTTTTACGCTGTGACGATGGTGTCGCGTCAGTTTCCAAGTGTCGTCATAAGTAAACGTAAATTATTATTTGCTTCAATGCTAGGACGAGTACCAAACTCCTCGCCATACCTGCTAAATGCACTCACTGCTCACCGTAGTTCATAAGTTATAGAACTTCAGCAACAAATGCAACATTATATTATTTTCGGCAACGCCTA